GACGGTCCTTCTCCGTGACGGTCCTTCTCCGTGACGGTCCTTCTCCGGTTCTTCTCCGTGACGGTCCTTCGCCGTGACGGTCCTTCGCCGGTCCTTCGCCGGTCCTTTGCCGGTTCTTCTCCATGATGGTCCTTCTCCGTCACGGTCCTTCTCCGTGACGGTCCTTCTCCGGTTCTTCTCCCGTTGACGGTTCTTCTCCGTGACGGTCCTTCTCCGTGACGGTCCTTCCCTGGTTCTTGTCCGTGACGGTCCTTCTCCACGACGGTCCTTCTTCGTGACGGTCCTTCTCCGCGACGTTCCTTCTCCACGACGGTTCTTTTCCACGACAGTCCTTCTCCGTGACGGTTCTTCTCCGTGACGGTCCTTCTCCGGTTCTTCTCCATGACGGTTCTTCTCCACCACTTGTGCTGCAGTCACAACATTTCACACTCAAACGTTCACAGTTTAGTAGCCAAACTTCAAACACAGGTTTATGTATTTATTTTTGGACTACATTACTTGTTTTTTGTTTTTGGTGGAACGGGATTCTTCTCGTGACATTTGAGCCAGTGAAGATTCGACATTTTCCCCATGAATGCTACAAATATAACATGAACTTGTAATATGGAGAATAACTGAAATAAACCTTGTCTCTAGATAATTGCTCTTTCCACAGGAAGTAAAACTTGTAATTGTGTGTATTTGAACTTAAACTTGGAGTTGTTGTGACGGGTCATGTAGACCTGTTCAGGTTGATGTGATGTCACATGTTTCAGGTAAAATAGGTCCTGCTGCGTTCCTCACTCACTTTATTAAAACTGCTGTGGAACTGTAACAACACGTTTTAACACTGACGTTCGTCTGTGTTCTTAGAAAACGAGTACGTGAAAATTCAGGCTCTGGCCTTTTTGAAGTTTTTTACACCGGTGCCCAAATGTTAAGTGTCTTTGCAGGTCAAAGGTGAAGGTTTCCTGCTCCACAGACACGTGCACACAACTGGAAGCTTCACCTTAGACACGTGTGCGAAACACTTTTGAAAATAACTGTCAGATTATTCTATTATTGTCACTGAGCAATGGTTCTCTGCAGACCGACCGTGGGCGTTTGTAAAGGACAAACACTGATTGACGGCTGTAAGTTCTGTCTCTTTAGGTGAGTTGTGTCACATCTTCTTTAAACTGAAGGTTTGTAAGAACCAGCGTTATATCTGCTGTCAAACACAAGAAGGTCCTCTTCAGTTCTTGGTTGTAGCTGCACCTGACACAGGTGAGTCTGGGTACAATGAAATCTGAAGCATCTGAAGAGAAACTGCTCCATTTGTCTGAGTCTGGTCTCAATTAAAGATCAGGAGTCCTGTGACGAGATAACGGACCAAAACCACATGTTCTTTAGAAGTTCTTCCATGAGATGTGATCTATGACTGGAGCTGGAACATGAAGTAGGACTGAGCCTTAAAACGTGAGACAGCTGAGGAAGTTGAGCAGTAAACAGAATACCTGCTCCAGGTGCACAAACTGACCTCCACTCACCTGCAGGGACTGATTTAAGAGTTGAACAAGAAAATGTGACGTTAAAGGAAACATTTGTCTCAAAGACAGTTGAAGTATCAGTAATATTTTGGTTACTTTATTTTTCTTTCTTTATGATTCGATTGTAACTATTTTCACATTATTCAACAAACAAACCCGATTTTGTTTGTTAATGTAATGGCTAGGTATTAAAAACCAAACATTTAGCCCTCCACACTACACATTTATGTTGCTCTTATTGTGAAATGTAACAGGAAGTTGTGTGTTGAGAGAGGTGGAAAGAGACGTCCTCATGGTCCAATCAGACGTGGCGCCTCTGTGTTTGTCTGCAGAGACCCGCTCGTGCTCACGAGTCCTGCACGTCCTCCAGTTAACAGGCCTTTCCATTTCAGAGTAAAGATGTCGTCCCTGTCTGCCGCCAGCCTGGAGACGCCTGCTGGGACCGGGGGCGCAGAGCAGCAGAAGCCTCTGAAACCATGCTGCGCCTGCCCAGAGACCAAAAAAGTCAGGGATGCCTGGTAAGTACCTGGTCAGGGTGGCTCAACAAGTTTTTACACCTGGACAATGTTTCTCACCTTGTTTCCTCCAGCATCATTGAAAAGGGGGAGGAGAACTGCAGAGATCTAATCGAGGCTCACAAAGAGTGCATGAGGGCTCTTGGATTCAAGATCTAACCACTGACTTTTCCTGTGTGTGGGTAAATATTTATTTATTTAAAATGTTTTATTAACCTTTATTTAACCAGGCAAAACCCACTGAGGTCACAGATGGGAGGCCTGGGCCTGAAGGCAGCCCAACATATAATATATATATATATATATATGTATAACCATAATAAAATACATTTATATATATACATAAAACATTCAGTCATTTCCTTGTACAAAAAGTACAACCTGTAGACACTTTAACTTAAAAAATGTATTGTACTAAAACATGCTCAGATGTGGTGGTGTCGGTGTTTGTGCTCTGCCTGCAGCAGGTGAGGTACAGCGAGTACCTGGTGCTTCGCCTCATGCCTTTCCTTTTTCACGTGGTACTTGTGTACAATATGAAGTTAACGTTCGCTTTGTGTCAACTTTATGACCTAAGGTTCTTCAGGCACGGGCTGATAAGAGATTATCAGCAAGTTCTCAAGTATCTGGATAAACTTGAGCAGAAATATCAAACATGTCAACAACAAAATACAAATTTTTAAATGTATCAACGTTAAATTGTTTTTATTCAAAACACAAATGTAGTATTATATCAGCTGCTTAAATATTACACATTTCTATTTAGTTGTTTCATTGTAATATATTTATTATACTTCTGTGTATCTGGGCATAAAAAATAGGAAAGTAGGAGAACTTCAGAGAATATTTTACGCACTCGTAACATTGATTTTAAATTGATCTGCTGCTGATAGTTTAAAGACTGAACTAAAATGTAAACTCTGCGTCAGCTAAAGCCCCTAAAGAAAGCAGGCTGCTTTGAAACATCTTTATTTCTTTATTTTGTGCACAAAGATGAAAGAACTATATGAAAGTCGGTTTAGTAGTTAAGTTGTTCTACTTGTTACTCAAAATATTCTTTCCCGTCTTTGTAACGTTGAGGTGCTGACGTTTCACAGATGAGCTTTAACCGTCGGCTTCTCGTGATCGAAACCTTTTTAAACTGCCGACCATAACGGAGATGAACGTTTTATGGGAATTCCTGTCCTTTCAGCCATCAGCAAAATGACGGCTTGCAGCAGCAGGTGCTGGCGGGGGTGTTGGTCTACACTGCCTCTGGTATCTCATCAGAGGAATTTACAGAGCAGGGGTGGCACGGTGGAGACACGTACTGGTCCTGACTCCTTGTCGTTTTAACTGCTGCGCCTTGAAGCCTGGAAGCTGCTCGTCTAGTTCTGTTAGCCTCCTCAGATAACTAATTGCAATTTATGTATCGAGCAAAGTTCCTTCTATACGTTTGTAAAACGTCATGTTGGAATAACAAGGTAGTTAAAGTTTTGTTTACTATGTACTATTTCTATATTAACATGTGATTCTTGACCTGCCATTGTGTATCTATTCCTACCAAACCCAGCCAGTCGAAGCAGATGGTCCTCTTGTCCTGATCCTGGTTCTGCTAAAGGTTTCTTCCTCATGAGGGAGTTTTTCTTTCACTGTCGCCTTCATGCTTGTTCAAGATGAGAGTTCAGTGATGGAGTTCAACTCAAAGCTGCTCCTCAGATGAATAATGTAAATTATTATTTTATACATGAATGTTTCTGTTCAGTCCCTGAGACGACTCTGTTGTGACTTGGAGCTGAAGAAATAAACTGAACTGAATAGTTCGCCCTAAAAAAGAATTTCTTCTCTTTCCTCTTTCACATAATAATTTTATCAGTCTTAAAATTCTCTTTTTTTTGTTGCATTTACTTTTCTTACTTTAAATAAAGGACAATCAGGAACTTGTTAATTTGTTAAGATTTCGTTGACAAGCTCCTCCCAACAGTTGCCTGAACACCTGCTGCTGTCAGTAAAAATCGTTGGTTACGTACTGTAACCCCAGATACTATGAGTATAGGCACAGCCCTTTAAGGCAGTCGCTAGTGGGTTTATCCCTTCGCGCAGCGCAGCCCTGAAAACTTTAGTCCATGCCTACCGGCTGTGTGGGCCCCACCCCTGGTCCGTATAAATTACGGTGAGACCGGGCAATCGGCTCCCATATAGCTTTTTTCTTCAGCCATTTAGGAACAGTGAGGCCCAGAGCTTAAAGGGCTGCGCCTATACTCAGAATCTGGGGTTACAGTACGTAACCAACGTTCTATTTCGTATAGGCTTCGCCCTTTAAGAGCTGTCGCTAGTGGGTTAAAGGTGAAGCAGGATGTAGTCTATGCCTCACTGGGTCCACTCAGACACAACATGAAGCACCTGCTTGCACAAAAAACATTTCATCACTCAGCCTTCTGTGTGTGTAATTACGCGCTCCATGTGCAGCAGTGCACCGGGGAAAATTGATCTCTGGTGAGGAAAGAGGCTGAGACAACAGACCTGCTGCTGTGAATAGGAACAACGGAGGTTACAAATTGTAACAGTGTAACGATGAACAGAGCAGACCAACAGCTCCTCAGGATGAAACGATTAATAAAGATAAAATCAGCAGTCATGAACTTGTGACTGATAATAAATATCTCACACTGCGACTGCATGCAGGCAGGTGTGAGCTCAAAAGTGAGGCTCCATGAAACAAATAATCATTCTGTCAGAACCCTGAGAACAGAATGGGTCATGGAGAAAGTAGAAACATCATGTAGATAAAAACGAATAAGTGAACACGGCGATGACCAGGCAGCCGCCATACAAATATCCTCCACTGTCATCCCTCCATGCAGAGACGTGGAGGATGAAAACTCTCTGGTGGAATGTGCTCTGAGATTCTCTGGAAGATCCAGTCCAGATGAACTGTAAACTTCAGAAATAGCCTCACACAACCAGTGTGAGAGGCGCTGGGTGGACAGAGGGTGTCCTGAAGAGCTGTTCCTGTAATGCACGAACAGACGCTGAAAGCGGCGCAGTGCAGCTGTGTGTGCCACGTAACACGAAAGCGTGCACACGGGACAGAGGAGGTGATATGTTGCTTCCTTCTCAGAATTATGAGGAGGATAAAACCTATCCAAGGTTATCACTCTCGATCTGAATGAGCTTGTGATGCTTTTAGGAGCAAAAGCAGGGTTAGGGCGCAGTACAGCTGAACTGCCGTCAGCTTGAATTCTGAGACATGAGGGAGCAACAGAGAGAGCAGATAAATCACTCACTCTCTTTGCCGACGTCAGAACTAACAGTAGGGCCGTTTTAAGTGACAGAAATTTAAATGAAACCTGATCTAAAGGCTGAGAAGGAGCTTTGATCAGAGCGTGCAGGACCATTGTTCGGTCCCACTGTGAAGCTAGTGGACGTGACACCGGTATGTGTCTCCGTACACCTTTCAGAAAACACTTCATCAGCAGGTGGTTAGAAACTATTTTATAACTTCTATCACCAAAACCCTCATGACAGGAAGAAATAGCTGCAGCACAAGTTTTAATTGTGCTGAACGCTAAATTTCTGTCCATCAGTTGCTGTAGAAATGACAGCACGCCACCTAATGGACATGAGATGGCCTCCACGCCTTTCTCTGCGCACCAGCGCTGAAAAACTGTCCACTTTTGATGTGTACAGCACTGTGGTGGAAGCGGCTCGTGCGCCCTGGATCGTATGCACCACATCCTGTGGGAGGCCCATCTTTCAGTGTTGCCAGATAGAGTGAAGGTTTTTCAGCCCAAAAATCTATTAAAAACTGCCACATCTCACAAAAATCTGCCCAATCTATATATTGTTACAGTATATTTACTGTTTGAACATGAACGTACATCAGTACAAGCCAAAGTAATTTAACAATATGTAGCAAAACGCAACAATCCAACAAAAATCTTCCCAGAGTTCCAAGCAAAATCAGAATGAAAACCACCCAATTGGCAGTAAACCGCCCAATCCAGTCACACTGCCATCTTTTCTAAACAGATCCGTTCAGCGGCCAAACCCAAAGGTGCTGACCTATTTCTGGGTAACTTCTGATTGCTCCTCCAGCCTGGAGGAGAGCGTCCCCCCTCCAAGGCAGTTTCCACGGCCGATCCAATATCAGTCGCTGCAGATTCGGGAAGCACGGGGCGCTTATGCGCTTGGGAGCTATGAGGACGAGGATGACTGACAGTTCTTCCTCCCTGGACTGGAGGGAACGCATAAAGGAGCATTTATGGCCATGGGCTGTGAGCGAAGGCGTCCACCCCTAACGATAGGTCGTCTCGTGGGCTCAGTGAGGACCATAATTGACACTGGGCGTTCTCCCGTGTGGCGAACAGATCCACTGCTGCTCGACCAAATCTGCTCCAAATCCGAGAGATCAGCTCTGGATGGAGGCTTCAGTCTCTGTGGCGGGGACCGCCCTTCAACATTATGTCCGCTCCCCAGTTCAGGACGCCGGGAATGTACACTGCTCTGACGGAGAGCAAGTTTTTGTGTGCCCAACACAGCAGCTGCCTCGCGATGTATAACAGTTGGGCTGAGCGCACGCTTTCCTGACGGTTTATGTAAGCTGCCGTCACTTTGTTGTCTGTGTGGATCAGAACATGCTGATCCCACAGTGGGGGGATGGGGAGCAAATGCTGAATCACATTTCAGATCGTGAGACATTCTAACACATTTATGTAAAGCGACATGTGGTCCAGCCACTGTGCTCCCACTGCCTGGGACAGACACGTTCCTCCCCAGCCTGACAGGGACACGTCTGTGAAAACCGAGACGTGTGACGTAGGGCTCCTGATAGGAACTCCCTCTTTTTCCCAGTTTATAGAAAACCGCAGGTTTGGCAGGTGTAACGCTAGCATTTTGGAATGCGCAGCTGCTTTCTGCCTGGACTGATCTAATAAAAGTAGCTCGCCCAGATAAAAAAGAATTCTCATTCCTGCCATGTGTAACGGCTGCAGAGCCATCTCCACGCATTTTGAGAAAGTGCGTGGGGCGAGGGAATAACCAAACGGTAGCCTGTTGTACTGATACGGAATCCCCTGGAAGGAGAAACGCAGGAATTTCCTGTGCTTCGGAATGATGGGAAAGTGAAAATATGCATCCTTCAGATCTATGGAGGTGAACCAGTCGTTCTGGTGAACATTCTCCAGCAGCTGTTTGATTGTCAGCATGTGGAATTGTCTCTCCATGATCGATTTGTTGAACATGGACAGGATGAGAATAGGTCTCATCCCTCCATTTTTTTTCGTAACCAGGAAGTAGTGGGAGTAAAACCCTGCGTTTTCCTCTCCGTTGGGAACTCAGGAAATCACATTTTTCATCAGGAATTCCTGAATTTCTGACTGGAGAGACGAGCTCTGTTCTGGAGATGACAGAACCATCTCAATAATCCCTCTGAACAGTGGAGGGTGAGCTACGAACTGCAGTGTGTAACCCCTGCTGATCAGACGGTCCATCCATCTGTCCAGAGAACACACTCGCTGCCACTCTAAGTAACGCTCAGAGTGCGGGCACGCATGGAAATGACCTTGAAGAGGCTCATAAGCACGGACCAGTAGAATGCACCCTAATCTGGCCATTTCAGACCTTGGAAGTCAGTACAGACTCAAAGGCTGACAAGAAAAGAAAAAAAGTCTGCCTGAATAAAGCCCCCAGTATACTCCTACATTAGGGCTGCTGTAAACGAATATTTTAGTAATCGAGGAATCTATAGAATATTCTTGCGATTAATCGAGTAATCGAAAACAAAATTTGTCAGGTTCTGCAGTAATCACTCATTTAAATACACGAAAAAGAACATTAAGTAAATAATCCATTTAATTCCTCTTTTTAAAATATTTTATTTTAAAATGTAATTACATGTTGAACCTCCATTTCTCTGAAGTGTAGCAAAACTTCCTTATTTCTAAAATGTAAAAACACAGAAGTGAAAAAAGTACATTAACATGAAATAGAAAACAAATTAAAGCAAAAACGGTAAACACTGCCCTTTATAAATTCAACTTGAAAGTCTGAGCTATAA